TCCGCACAGTCCTGGAAAAACATGCGTTTTCTGAAGAAGTCCTTCAAGCCAACAACAGCATCAACAATCGACGAAGTGGATTTTCGGTTTCTTCGCCATTCTCTGGTGTACGTGATCATGGTAGATAAAACGTCAAATATGAATGCGGTAAGTGAGATAGGTCTCAGATATGCCGCTGATCTGATTGAACAGGTAAAAGCGATAGAAGTGCAAGTGTTCAATGCTCACAAAATTGAATGGTCGTCGATATGCTACAAAAGTGAGACAGGCAAGTGCTTAGAGCATCCATTGTTTGATGCGTTGGAGAAGACAACGGCCAACGGCCAAGTGCTCAGCGTCGCTGAGCAGTATCTCTATTATCCAACTGCAAAGGTGGGAAATTTAACTGTGGACAATACAATGATTTTTGGGGGCATCAGCAAACGAGCGGATAACAGCATCGCGAAAGCGGAGGCCATTCGAATCCCTTTCGTCTTAAAGGACATACGGTCAGAATTAGATTACGTTCTGAACAATGCATGGCGGAATCGATTTCTTAAAATCATCCAGGAAAGCTATTATCCTGGTTTCGGTGTCTACGCAAACACATGGTCATCTTTGGCTCACGAGATTCAGCGCAACGGCAGCATGCTCACTCCATACCTGTTTTACCTGGTTCTCATTCTCGTCGTGGCTTCGGTTCTCTGTTGCTGCACCGTCGACTGCCAGGCCAGTAAACCCTGGCTTGGTTTCTGCGGCCTGGTGAACGCCGCCTTCGCGGTCATTACCGCCACCGGCATTCTCTTCGGTTGTCGTTACTCGTATCTTCATATGGTGGTCATCATGCCGTTCCTGGTGATGTGTAAGTTCCTTCCATGCACGTGATTCTTACGCCGTTCTTGCTTTCATTTTTCACTTGTTTAGCCGTTTCGGTGGACAACGTGTTTCTGATGCTGAATTGCTGGCGTGCGACAGGAAACGGGAACTTGAAGTTGGAGCAACGGGTTTCCGCCTGCGTTGGAGACACGTCCGTTTCAATGATGATTAGTGCGCTCACCGATGGGCTGTCGTTCACTGTTGGCAATATCACGCCTTTCCCAGCAGTACGTAAGTGAAGCGAAACAGACTTTTACGAGGTCTTCAAAATCCAATCTCCTATCTCAGTCGTCCTCCTACATGTAGGAATGCGGGAGTGCATTCTTTTCAGTTGCTATTGTTTCCATGGTGGCGCGGCGTATCATGGAACGCATCGCTAATGAAGTTCTGATGAACCCCTCTCGGGCCCATCCACTATTCAACTGATTACAGACAACGCATAGAATTTGTCCGCAATTTAGCAGCGGACCCTCAAAAATTATAATGGCTATGAGTTTCGATACTGAAAACTACAGAACATAGAAGCATACCTTCAATGAAAATGAAAATGCCGCCTTCAACGTGCAAACATTAACAGTGCGGAATGTCCATCCTGTTTGCGAAATGAATTGCGTCAGACGGCAATACACGTAGTCGCAATACAAAAGAAGACCCACTGGTTTGGGACAAGATTTATTATTTCTGGATATTATGACTCATATTGCACAAACAACACACCTCAAGGCAGCAAGCACAAAGGTAGTGACAGAATAATATTTGCAAGAGCCAAGTGAACGAAAGGAGTTGCGGCCATGGTGCTTGGTTACTAACCTTCTACTGATCATGTGGCAGAATCAGTAAATGAGGACCTTTTTTGTCACGTTGAGTTTTTCATTACAAGAGCGTCAAACCAATAGCATCCTGATTGATCGCAGTGACTTAGGAAAGTGGGAACAAACAATACGATTTTAGCTGTTTGGAGAACATGACATAGGCGAAGTAAATGTAAATGGTGAACAGCTAACAAAACTATAAGAAATACACGATTTACTTGTTTGCGGCAGAGGGTTTTATTATAAACACGATTGCATTGTTCATACCTGAAGTATCAGCAAGAATTCAAGCTGATCACGTTCTAATCACCAACAGTCATCAGACATGCCTAGAAGATGTCACGCTTCACTGAAGTGCTTCAGGTGGGAACAACGACGGGTGTCCCTGAAAGCATAAATGAATTTGAGGCTTTGATACTCGAAATCCATCCAGTTAAGTAGGGCAATTTTTAGATGGACAAACTCGGGTGCCAATAACATTCCCATGCATTTCAAAAGACAGTCAGCGAAAATTCATCTCAGTTTTTATTAGAGAGATAAGATATCTACAAAACAAGTTTCAACGTGTACACGCCAATAAATGCAGAGGCGAAAACAGATGACGGAAATCGTAAAATTTTCTTCCTCCTCCAAGACCGTTTCTCCTTTCGCATCGCTGAGGCAGACACATCAGACAATGCTCCCAACGTTCCCGATCCTGTGCCAGAATCTGAGCTTTGGCAAAAGACAAATGGAGTCCGGAACAGACTCCTTCGATACGTTTGCACCACGTAAATCTTGGCCGTCCCTCTGGGCCTTCTGCTGGACGGATTTGCAAGGAGCAGTTGCTCAACCTCCCTTTCTAGAGGCATTCGCAACAGATGCCCACACCATCACAGCTATGACTTCTCAATCTGGAGAAGCAGAGACTGCACACCAAGGGTAGCCGGATATAAGTATTCTGGAGCCCGTTTCACCAGTTTGTACCCGGGTTCGAAGCTTTTCATTCATGGTCCACGACTCATGACCGTAGGTGAGCATGGGGGATGAAGATCGACTTGAACATCGAGAGCTCAGTTTTCAGACTGAGCTCTGTTTTAGTCACAATGGGTCGGGACAATCCACGCAGAACGCCAATGGCTACTCTAATTCACCGACCGATCTCTTCCTCCAATTTTCTATCACTAATAAATACGACTCCGAGGTACTTGAACATCTCCACCTGCTCCACTGCTACTCTATTAGCTGAAGGGAGGAATGGGCGGGGGAACGAGAAAGCTTTAGGCTTTTGTTTTTAAAAAGGCTCACACATACGCCGGCCACGTTGCACTCGGCGGCGAAGCTTTCTATACAGTGCTATAAACCAGCTTCAGAATAGCCGACAAAATAAGATCGTTTGCAAGAAGCAGCCTTCTAGTCTCGACATCTCCTACACAGATACACTCATCGAATTGACTGCACCTGACTATTCTATCCATGTACAACACAAACAGGTGAGGGGACAGAACACTGTCTTGGCGGAGACCAATGCCAATGCAGAAACGACATTTACTCATATATTATCAGCATATAGTAATTGGATGTCCCGTGGTATCTGACCAACGATCCCACAGGCTCGCAGACTTGTTCATAGATTATTACGTGAAATCTGCTCATAGGATTTCTTTAGGGTGGCATCGCACATAGCAGGCGATGTGCAGAGTCACGGTTCCTCAACAACCTACCTTAGAGCGCATATTTGGTCAGATGTGCTTCGGCGGACCTGGAAGCCACATTGCTCTTCTTGTATCTAGGAGTCAGTTATTCTACCACCTTTAAACAGACTTTACCTGGGAGGCTCGATAAGGTAACTCCTCGATAATTGAAGCACTCCCTGTGGTCTGCATTGCAGGTACAGGGGTACAATGACCCAAGTTCTCCAGTCCGCTGGTGTCTCTCCCATTGCCATTGCAGTTTGAGAGACACTTGTAAGCCAGCACATGCGTTGTTCGCGTATTGCTTTGAGCATTTCAGAGCGAATTTCATTAATTCCAGCCGTTTTCCCACTTCTCAGAAATGGTCATATCCGTTCCATGCTGCTCTACAGGCAAGGCTTTCTGTGGTTGGTAAGGTTGATGAGTATCTCACTGTACTTTCTCCATCGCCAAAGAAGGTCTTTATTCTCGGTAAGGTGTCCAGACCTATCTTTCACGACTCTAAATCTGCCCTTCTTTTCTGTTCGTATCAGGCGACATGGCCGTTCAATTCGCTTATTCTGGTATTACCACACCAGAACACATTTGTGTATATTGTTAGCAAGATCATATCTTATGTGAATAATATCCGTTTCTCTGCTGGTTGCATCGAGGCAATGTGACGTCACTGTCTGCTCAAGGAAATTGGCCGTTTCGTCATATTTGTTTCTTTCTTGGCGTTCTGACCCCGCACCCCCTTCATGAATGAAATGAACTTCCTGTCAGTATGCAAGCTTCATATAAGTATAAGGGAGCAAAAATTCATTT